TGTTGCTTGTCTTATTTTTTTCATCTTTGATTTATTTTCGATTATTGAGTCTCATGATTGCACGTTTTTAAATTATATATTGAAAAGATTTATTTTAAGCATGCATAATCCTTTTGGTAGGTTTGAACTTGATCATGATACTTTTAATCAATTGCATGAGTAAGTGGAATAAGAGAAATTGGAATTTTGAAAATTTGAGATTTTTTGGGATTTTGAGTGTTTGATTTGAATCAAGCACAAATTCTGATTCAAATTATTTTGGACATTTGGAAACTAGAAATTTTTAAAACAATTTAACAAAAATCACATTTTACACATGATTCAGATCATCAAACTCTGAGTCACCTCTGCTCAAATTGATTCAAATCATGCAATTTTTTTATTTATATTTTGTCAGTTCGCTCATCCTGTTTGATTTGAATTAAATTTAACACATGATTCGAATCACACGGTGTTTGATTTGAGTCACACTTTCCTCTTGATTCGAATTAGCTTAAAAATGTGTCAAAACTCTGTTTTTCTTTTATTCCACTTCACTTGTTCATTTGATTCAATTCATGAAATGCTCTTGATTCAAATCTAACTGACTTTTTCAACCATTTTTATTGCTTAATCTCAAGCACATTTAAACTTTTTTGCTATCATTTCTCATGTATAGAATCATAGTGAGTATCATAATCAACATTGAGATTTATGAAAAAACAATTTTCTCTGTTTTGAAAGTTCAAAGTTCTTGCAATAAATTCTTACATCTTCAACTTCAAATTGATTTAGATCTTGATAACGAAAGATTTGTAATTGATTGAAGGAAACGTGTTCTTGAAAACTAATCGTTCTTGAAGATTTGGTTGAGATTTTCATGTTGTTTGCAATATTGAGGTGATTGTCAATGATGATGACAAATTCCATTGAAAAGAAGTAGGTTCTTCCCTCCATAATTTACTCAGGGTCTGTTTGGTTGGAGGATTTTGGAGGGGAGATGTGAGAATATTTTAAAATAGATGTGTTTGGTTTAATTTTTTATGAGGGAGAGGGGATTGGACATAATTAGAATCCTCCTGGAGCACTTTTTCGTTTCCCTCAAATTGGAGATTTTCGGAGGGGAGGAGAGAGAGGAATTATGATAACATCTATTTTTATTATATTGACAAAATTATCCTCACTTTTGTTTAATAAAATTTTTAATTGTCTTTATTAATATTATACCTTAATTTTTGTCACCTTATTATAATTCCTCCATTTATTTAACGACATCTCCATTATTTTTATTATTATGATTCAACTTTTTTTCCCATGTATTTTATTCTATTCATTTTTATTTAATATTTTGTTTGTAATAACTTAATTAATTTATAAGTTGTTGTATTATATTACATATCAATATATAATTGTAGTATGCATTATATATTATGTAGAATTTAATTTTATAAATATGTTATAGGATTAAATGGATCATTAAGATGAGAAAATGATTCATATGTTCATTGATCATATAATATGATTTATGACGTTTATCAATATTTTAATTTCATTTTAAGATATTTTAGAGTATTTTAAATGTTAAATATTTTGTGTTTGATTATCTATGTTTTTTATGAATTAATATTTTTTTGGAGAATACTATTTTTTTTAAAAAATTTATTTAACATGAATGTTATAATATATTAAAGGTAAAAAAGTAAATTAGTTTTAAAATTTCTCCATCCCCATGTGAACCAAATATATATTTGAATAAAACTTCTCTCTCCTCTCCCCTCTCCCTCTTATGAATGAAACATACGTTTAATTAAAATACATTCTCTCACCTCCCATCCCCTCTATTAAAATTTCTCTCCTCCTCTCCGTTGAACCAAACGGACCCTTAGTATTGACTGTATCGAAGACTACATATAAGGCGAAGTTCTTCTCAAATATTCGGACAATTCATTGTTCAAGGAATCAATAGGATCACAGGGTTGACTCGTACACACGAAGGCTTAGAGTAGATTGGTGATATTGAAAGATTAAAGAAGGCGTTAATCGAGAAAAAAATTGCTTAGAAAAGTTTGGAGTTATGTTGTATACAATTCAACATTCAAATAGGAGATTTTAATTTTCCGAGTTGTATTATGGATTGATGATTGTATGAACTCTTGAAAAGGTGTCATTTTGATTTCACCATATTATGCTCTATTGTCTCACCATTTGATTTCATTTTGTTCACTATGATTAAGGTTCATTCCAAAAAGGTGTCTACTTGAACTCTTTTCTTAATTCTTGAAGTAGTACCATTTTGACATTTGTGGACCTTTTATATTTCCGTTTTATTGAGTCTCAAATTGTTTTTGAAGTTTCCTTGTCAAGTCTTTTTTTAAGAATTTCTCCGTCAATAATCTGAAACAGAAAAGATCTTGACTCATCAATTGTTTTAAAGTCAAGATCAATTAATTGATCTCAACTTAAAAGAAAAAGCTAAGATTATCAACTTTAGTTTCTTATTATTCATCTTAATAAATATGCTTTAACAAGTTTGAATTGTTTAATATTATTGTACCATTGAATTCTAAATCATTTAAAGTGGAATTTCTTCTAGTCATATTTATAAATAAATTTACTTTTTAAATTCATCAAAATAATTAATATATTATATATAGCAAACACATTAATTATTTAATTACTCAATAAATATAAAAAATATAGAAAAAAATTATTGATAAAATGAGAGATGATATTATTTAGTATTTAATATTGTTGAGTCGAGCTTTAAATAATTAATTAATTTATAAAAGATCAGTAATATCTTTGTCTTTTTGATCATGCTCAAAATCTTAGTCTAATATCAACATATTAAAATATAAGCGTTCTTTGCCTTTGTTTTGTATATTTATTTGATTAATTAAATGAGAAGAGCTGTTTTAATTATTCCTAAAATTTCAAGCCTGTCACTTAAAATTATCACTATATTTTCTAATACAAAGAGATGCATAAAAAAAAGTAGTTTTTTCATAAGGTTGTTACTTGTTAAAATTTTAAAAACTTGTCTTTGTGTCTGGCAAAAATTTGAACATGGAAAACATATTCCTAAACCTAAGTTATATTAATTATATTTACACTTTGAAATAAAAAGCCCTTATAGCTCAGTGGTAGAGCGCCAGTCTTGTAAACTGGAGGTCCGCAGTTCGATCCTGCGTGAGGGCATTCGTTTTTGAAGTTTTCAGAAATTTCTTACGTTTCATGCAATGAAATCGTCTTTGTGAACCAAGTTTATTTTCTCCAATAACTTAATATTTTAACCATGGTTTCTTATACATACCTTAAGGGTTAGTAAAACAAAGAATAAATAGTACATTTGATTATTTTAAAAATATAATGTAATCTTTCTGGAAAATTTGTCTTATGTTTTTTTTTAATAAATTAATTAATATAAAATATTTGTTACGTAATATTTTATATCAATGATAACTTTAAGGTCCTATGTAGTTCAAATAAATATGAAAGTAAGATGATTGAATGAAGTTTGAATTTAAATTGTACTTGAAAAATGATACGATTCTTTTTTAAATAATGACAAAATTACACCAAAGGTCCTTTAAATTATTATTTTTGTAACATATTGATTCTTTAAGTTTTTTTTTTATAACAATTTAGTCCTTTATGATGATTTTTACATTTTTTTTTCTTCACATTTTTAACATTTAAAATGAAGGTGAGAAAAACATAAGAAGGAAGGATTGAATTGTACTTTTTCTTATTCTGCTTCTGATGGATCTCAATCAGATTATGAATACTTGGTTTACTTTTGAAAGTTCATATCAGATTTTGAATCAGAGTCTGACTTAGAGTATCAGAGTTGACAACAACGAAATATAGTTCAGAAGCAAGAAAAATAAAAGTAAAGACACAAGCAGTTATCCTGATTCCTCTTACAACTTGAGAGTATTTCAGTCCCTTGTACTACCAAGGAATTTTCACTAATAAGCAAACTGATTACAAATGCTCAAGCATCAAGCAAGAGACTTACAGTGCTCAAACCTACAATTAAGAGACTTTTATGCTCAAGCACACAAGCAAAAGTCTTACAATGTTAAAACTCTTTAGTAAGAGACTTTTATGCTCAAATACACAGACAAAAGATTTCAAATGCTCAAGCACTAAAGCAAGAGACTTCTAACTTTATAACAAACCTGTTAAAAGATTTGAGCAACAACTATACTTGATATACAATCGCAAATGTATCCAGAATACAATTTAGAAAGACTCTAAGACTTAAGTACTTCTAAAAATTATTCAATGTTAAGATGCTTTAAGTTTAGATTGTTTTTGACAGAGTGACTTCTCTTTAAAATGTCTCTAAATTAATCAAGAAACTATTGATATTTTGAAAAGAACCTTTAAATTTGCAATTTGGATTGCGAAAGTAAGCGGTCACGAGTTTAAAATTCAATAATGCATCGACGAAACTATTATCCCTAGTTTTGGTATTTTCTACAAAAGTAAATTTTTTTGTTATGAATAGGTGCAATGATTCCTATGAGTAAATTTGGTAGATAGAAATTAAAATATTCTCATCAAATATTAAAATCTAAATTAACAGTTTATACTCATTTAATAAAATATTTTTATTGATTATAATTATTAGTATAGTAAAATTTAATAATAAAAAAAAATAGTATAAAATATAAGAAATATTACAATAGTTAAAGATCACATTCTAATTTCTTTGCTCTCTTCAGTTTCCTCCATTCACCTCAAGAAGTGTTCTACACCAGACATGAGTCAGTATCACAAGATAATAGAAAAAGACATATATCTCTTCTTTACCACTGAACAATAACTGAATTTTCAAAACTCACATGTAGCTGCATAATCTGTTATGAACTTGACATAAGAAACCTTTCAAAAATGTAAGTTATCTCATATATATGCCAAAGTTTCAAGAAACAGTATAAATCACTAGTTTTATTATAAATTTAATCTGTTGTATAATTCTTGACTTTCTAAACAAAGTGCAAAATCTAATCTCAAGAATGAATCTGAACATTTGCAATTAGTCTAGTGAGTTTGCTTAACGTTTCGCGAGCAAATATCGTATCGGGATGATCTTCGCCACAAATCGAGCTTCTGATAAAAATAGCTTTCTTGATTAGATCACTCCCTATATCAAACTGTGCACCTCTTAGCATAAGCTTTGCTCTAGTCTCGAGAACCGTGGCTCGACATAGTGCCAGCTCTTGCCAAAGACAGGGATTCAACTGAGCATTAGTTTGGATGGATCTCCAACAAAGTGATTTGTCGAACCACTTATCGACTGGCGTGACTAGTGTTTGGTCTGCTGCTTCCAATGCGTTGGTGCAAAGGCGCAGAAGCTCGAGTGCAGCCGTGCATCGGGAGTATGTGATGAAGGATTGAATGGCAAGAGGGAGGACAACTTTTTTCACGAGATGTAGGAGTTCGGAAACCTCGAGCTCGACAATGGCGGGGTTATGGACGAATTCAAATAGTAGAAAACATGCAGCCCATAAATGATCCAGATGTTGAGATATTGAACCTTGACTGATGATAGCTTGAACCATTGCTTGTGATGATCCATTAACTTCTCTTTTTCTGGCGTATAGTTTGACGAGTTCGTTGAATTGAATACATCCTTTCTTCGCACAACTCCTTGCAATATTGAAACTTAGAAGTAAAGAAGATGCTTCTAATTCCGATTTTTTCGTGTGCGAGGAAGTTAAACCGCAGGTTAAGGGTTGCAGCAATTTTCTCCACAAACAAGTCCCTTTGTGTTTTTTCGGTATATTGTGTGCAGCGAGTGCTAACAAGGAAACTGGAATGGCACTTGATGCAAACCATCCACTTACAAGTACCATTCTTGTTGCCAAACTTCTAGGGCCGTCTGCGTGATCAAACACCGAGAAACAAACGTCGAAGAGCTGAAGAAGGAAAGTGTTCTTCCGGAAGACGTGAGCCTCTTTACCACTCCACGAGGACATCTCCTTCAAGGGCATTCTATTTATGGTATCTAAGAGCCTGCTTGGAGTTATAGGTAACTCCGATAAAATTCCACCAATAATCGCAAGGCCTAAAGTTAACCTTCCAAGCTTCTCCTCGATTGTTCTCAGAGCATCGATCTCAGCAACTGTATAGTCCTTGCCAGTTGGTAACATTAGAGACATTGCTTCAACTCCAGATAAGTATGAAAGTTTTAGCGGTTCCAAGTTCATGATGCATGGAAGGCACGTTGATATGATCACATGAGTCTCTCCACCGAAACGAGGGAGAAGATCCATCACATGTTTGTGATCCCACCAATCATTTTCGCTCTCCAAGTTGTCAATGATCACAAGATATGGAATGTTTCTCATCAGTTCTTTGCGAACTCTAGAAATGGCCGCTTGTTCGTGCTCTTCGAATCCTTTTAAACTAGTTTTCTCCAAACTATTCTCAACACTTACATCAACTTCTAAAAATGACCTGAGATTTAGATAGTTTTGCCTTACATACCTGCTCTCCCCTCCTATCCATAACACCATCTTGTATCGTTGGTGAAATCGATAAGCAAACTCGAGAATTAGTTCGGTCTTTCCAATTCCTGAATCTCCAGATACACATGCGATCCCTTTCCCGTACAAAATATCAATTCCTCTTTTCTTCCTAGTATACTTTCCACTACGTTTAGGCCTCGAACGATAGTGCCTCTGAGCGAATTCGATACTTTGCATTTCAATCTCTTTCTCCGACTCTTTCCATAGAACCGGTTCTTTCTCCTCCCTACTACTTCCATTTCTTTCATCCAACACATTACTCTTTCCTCTACCTATAGTCAAATGCTTTCTCTTGGATCTTGCCTTGAGTTCAATATAATCTTGCTTTGAATCACCGGTAACATCGCCAAAAAGCATAAACTCCAACTGAGAAAGCTCTTTTTTTCTACCTATAAAATTCTCGTTACGAGTGAAAGGTAATTCCTCTTCCTTAATTTTCTCTTTCCACTTCCTCAAATGCTCGGCGACACTTCTTCTGCCTAACCTCATTGCTAACAATGCAACAGTCTCAAGTATGCAATCTCTCCAGTTTCCATCTTGAGCTTCCAACTTCCATTCCTCGACCCGAGATAAAGCGTGGACCGCATCCTTCCACTCCTGCCTCAACCCACCATACACAAGCCAGAGTTCTCCTCCATGTTTCTCCCATAACTCCCCCCTTTTCTCAATTATATCCCTTACAAGACAATCAAACGGACTCAAATCGAAGTATATCGGAACTAAATTCTTCTTGCCGGAGAAAAACTTCAGCTCCTCAATAGTATACGGATTCTTGAAACACTTCCTTGTTATAATCACTATACCGAAAGAAGCAACATCCATAGCCTTCTCTGCAATGCCAAGCTTGCTAGAGTTCCTACACGAAGCCCTGTCCGATACAAAACAACTGATACCATGAATTTCTAACTCGGCACACAACCATTTGGAAAATCTCACAAGAGAAGCCTTGCGACCGTGTAATCCTATAAAAACATCACAACTCTTCAACCTGTAAGAAGAAATCGATCTCGAACCCGGTTTCAGGTTTCTCCCTTTCTTACTCCGCTTCTCTTTCTGTCCCGAATAACAATCATCATACGGATGACAGTAACCAGATACAGTGCTACTAGATATATCAACCGACGAAGATATCCGGTCGAGCCTCTGCATATCGCCCGAATTACACACAACCGGAGACGCAGCAGCCACATCAGAGATTGTACTTTTTTGTTCCGGAATCACCGAACTAGTACTAGTCGAAGCAGCAGCAGCAGCACCACTAGCATCATCTACATGAATTCTCTCATTCAAAGCTTCACCTCTCAAAGTATCTGATATATGACACGATGAAGTTCTTGGAGAGAAAAACGGCGACTGATTCGCCGAAAAGAAAGCCGAAGACGACGACGACATATTCCTCAAAGTCATAGCTGCCAAAGGTCCAAAAGCGGAGGAAGAATTCTCTTCTTGAATATCCATACTTTCAACTGCAAACAATCCCTTTCCCAATTTGGGAAGATATCAAATCCCATGCACCAACAGTTTATAGAAACACCTATGAAATTCAAACAACATTTTCATCAGAAAACTCCAATACTATCGTAGATCTTCAAATATCCAAAAAGAACAAACAAAAAAAAACCTAAATCTGTCAAATCATAAACAGTAATCATCATTAGTGGGAGCAACAAAGTCAACTCAAATGGAACATTAACTTTATAAAAAAAAAAACATGATTCCGATTCTGAACAGTATACAATGAAACAAAAAGGTAAACATCAGTTTGAGACATTAACTGTTGTTGATTACACAAAAGACACAAAAAAACCATAAAAGCGACAACCTCAAGAAAAACAATATCTACTATATAAACAAAAACGGATTAGAAAAAACTACATTTTGTGATTCAGATCTGAAAATACTTACTATGCTGAGAAACTGAAACACACCAGAACGTAGTACATTCACTGTTATGCTTTCAACCAACGAATCTCTGCAAATGTCAAAAAGATTAAAAACATTCAAAAAAATTAACAGTGACAACACAAAAATAAAAACAACAAAAAAACAAAATATTAAGAAAAAGTATAATAACATAACATAACATAACATTACTATTAATGTTAAAATGGTAATGAGTGAAGTGAGGAATCAACGAAGGTGTGAAACTCAAACACCAATTTAAGAAAGAGAAAAAAAGTTGAAAATGCAAGCGAAAAACACAAACCTCGGGAAAAAAAAACCAAGCAAGTCTTCGTAGGTGTGTAGAAACAAAAGAAAAGAAAGTTTAGGTGTTTTTATTTATTTTTGTTTTGTGTTTACTATTAAAAAAAAAGAAATGAATGAGTGTTTATGGTTTTGGGTGTGATTTTATTGTCTGCAAGATTGAGAAAATGGTGAGAAAAGGGGGAAGAAGAAGAAGGTAATGGATCTGACTTGGGTATGGTGAAAACTTTGTAGGGTCCATTAACTATTTATATACAACTGTTAAATCTTTTGTTTCTTAGCATAGACACTATCATACTTGAGTGAATGTATAAATTATTTTGATAAAAGAATAATTCAAACGAATTAAATATATTTTATTTTATATGAAAATAAGAAAAAATATATCAATTTAATCCTCTTTTGTTATTGAAAAAATATTAATAATATTAAATGTAAATTAATTACTCCTCTTTTTAGGTGATTAAATATAAATTAATCACAAAGAAAAGTAGTTTTTAGAGATTATAGAAAAGATAATATTTTATGACATTTATAACAAATATAGAAAAGATAGTAAAATTGTCATTAATCATTTTGATGTTTTTTAAAATAATTTATTAGCTGAAATTCATTTTGTAGTGAGATGTCGCAATTCATATTTAAAAGTGATAAAAAATGTCAATTATTTTAGATTTTTTGCTACGGGTTAATTTGGTAATTTAGTCCTTTTGTTTTTATTTGTGTTTGTTTATGGGTAGCTGAAAGTTGAAAGGTATAGGTTCGATTGAGATAGTTTGTGGAGCATAACGTGGTGTTTTGTAATTTTAAAAAAAAAAATTTCTAACCATAATTAAATTGAATATTTACTGAAAAATTAAATTAAATTTCATATTTTTAAGGATAAGATATTTGAGCTGTTGGCAGAAGAAAATCGGTTCGTACGATCTGTGTTTTTTTTATATGCAAGAAATTAGAATTGTGCGGATGAACATTTATTTCATTTAATTGAATTATAGACGCCTCATAAATATTTCATCTCATTTATTATCTGATTTCAAATTTTATATATATATATATATATATATATATATATATATATATATATATATATATATATATATATATATATATATATATATATATATATATATTAACGTAAATCTATTTATTTTTACGAAGGTCTATATTAATATCATACACTTAAGGTGCATTTATCTATTTTTTAGTTAAAGTTTGCTAAAATGCACATTCATAAAAACAAATGAGTGTATTATAGCAAATCTCACACGTTTGCTATAATACATCTGCTTGTTTTTATAAAGGTGTGTTTTCGTAATATGCACCTTAAGGTGTATTTAAGGAGATTTTAGTTAAAGCTTGCTAAAATAGACTTTTATAGAAATAAGTGGGTCTATGTTTTATATATATATATATATATATATATATATATATATATATATATATATATATATATATATATATATATATATATATATATATATATATATATATATATATATATATATATATATATATATATATATATATAGTTCCGGACTGGGCCAGAGGCTGCCCCATCGTCGGGCTTGGCCAACCCAACTCCTCGTTGGGGAGGGCCCAATGAAGGCCCAACTCATCATCTCATACGGGGAGCTCTCACGCGTCTCCCCCATAGTCTCCACGTGCTCCCTACGTGGGCACACGTCATCAGCCAACTACCCGCGTCCGAGAGAACAGGTCTTCCACCTTCCGAAGTTCATGGGGCAGTTGGATCAGGATGGAGACCATTTGTTGATCTTCCCTACGCCACGTAGATCCTGACAGTTATTCGTATTGGGCCTAATGATCTAACCCAATGCAAATAATCGTTGACGCAACGTTGGAGGCACATTATAAATACCATTTTCAATAGAGGGTCAAGTATTTTATTCCCTACGTTTTTCTATACTTGCTTTCTCACTCCTGCTGAAACTTACTTTTTCATCGGAATGCCTTGCAGGTTCACCCCCACCTTTTCTCTAAAACCGACGAACTAGGAGCTCACGACGCGTTGCTGGATGCTGATATCTTTCTGGTCTGGTAAGATCAGTGGCGTCGTCTCTGGGAATCTCTTGCTTCCCCGTTCTTTCTTCCTCATAAATCAAAGAACCAAAATACATCTCAACTTCCATCGATCATGGTCAACCCACGCGTTGACGATAACCTTCATGAAACTGCTTTCACCAACGGCGATGACCATGATCCCGACATGGTTGTCCCCGTCGAGGAGGGTGACCCTAGGGACGGAGGCACCGCCTCTCCTTCCTCCAACGATGCGGCTGACAACGCCGCCTAACAGCTCGACAATCTTGCCGTTTTCCAACCCATTCTTGTGTCGCCCAACGTCAACCCGACCATGGTGGCCTTGTTTGCGGCGATTAACCAGGTGAACCTAATGATGTTCCAATAGAACGAACGGATCGGGATGGTAAAAAAGGAACGACAATCACGTTCTCCTCTACAGAGACATAGACGCCCAGTTTCTCGCAGCCCGTCCCCGAGACGACGAGAAACATGTCCCCTTTCTCTCTCGCAAAGACATCAACGAGACAAATCTCGGCTAACTTTTCCAAAGGATAACTAATATCAATCGGAATAAAGTGAGCGGATTTAGTAAGCCTATCAACAATAACCCAAATAGCATTGTGACCTCTTTGCGTATTTGGTAAACCCGTAACAAAATCCATTGATATACTATCCCATTTCCATTCCGGAATATCCAACGGTTGCATCAAACCGCTAGGCTTCTGATGTTCCACCTTAGACTTCTGGAAAGTCAAACACGAATACACAAACCGAGCTACATCCCTCTTCAATCCGGACCACCAAAAGATTTTCTTCAAATCTTGATACATCTTATTCGCACCCGGATGAATACTCAAATTACTCCGGTGTCCTTCCTCCAATATCATCTTTCTCAAATCCACATCGTCGGGAATACAAATACGACCACGGAATCTCAAAACTCCAAAATTATCAACTTTAAAGTCCTCATTCTCATTCATCATCAAATCCACAAATTTCAAATCCAACTTTTGCTTTTCACGAACGGTAGCAAGAAAATCATTCGTAACATGCAACATACCAAGTTTCACACTTCTCGGCGTCATTTCACAAACCAAACTCAAATATCTAAAATTCTCCAAAAGTTCCCATTCTCTTACCATCAATGTAGACATATGCACTAACTTCCGGCTCAAAGCATCCGCTACAACATTTGCCTTACCCGGATGGTAATTCAAACCAAAGTCATAATCCTTCAAAAACTCTAACCACCTCCTTTGCCTCATATTTAATTCCTTTTGTTCAAATAAATACTTCAAACTCTTGTGGTCGCTAAAAACTTCAAATCTCGCACCATAGAGATAATGCCTCCAAATTTTCAAAACAAAGACCACGACCGCCAATTCCAAATCATGCGTAGGATAATTCTTCTCATGCACTCTCAATTGCCTTGAAGCATAAGCCACAACTTTACCGTCTTGCATCAAAACACCACCCAAACCGGACAAAGAAGCATCATAATAAACCACAAACGATTCCGTCGGATTTGGCAAAATCAAAACCGGCTCCGTTGTCAACCGTCTCTTAAGTTCAACAAAACTCTTCTCACAATTAATGTCCCAAACAAAAGTCTTTCCCTTACAAGTCAACTGAGTCAACCGAAGTGCCAACTTCGAAAATCCCTCAATAAACCTCCGATAATAACCGGCCAAGCCCAAAAAGCTTTGGATCTCCGTAACCGACTTAGGAGCCTCCCATTGCATCACCGTATCAATCTTGGACGGATCAACACAAATACCATTACCAGAAATAACATGCCCAAGAAAACTCACTTCCGATAACCAAAACTCGGACTTGGATAACTTAGCATACAATTGCTTCTCCTTCAAAACTTGCAACACAACCCGCAAATGCTCTTCATGCTCTTCTTGAGACTTAGAGTAAATCAAAATGTCGTCAATAAACACAACTACAAAACGATCCAACTGCTCATGAAAGATACGATTCATATATTCCATAAACACACCCGGCGCATTAGAAACTCCAAACGGCATCACAGAAAATTCATAATGACCATACCGTGTCCTAAAAGCCGTCTTTTGAATATCTTCTTCTTTAACACGAATCTGGTGATAACCTGACCTCAAATCAATCTTACTAAAAACACGGACACCAACCAATTGGTCCATCAAATCATCAATTCTAGGAAGCGGATACTTATTCTTAAT